CTACACAGCTGGAAGGAAAGCCAGAGATTTTTTCAACAGGGAAAAATTTAGTGAAACTAGCATAATCCACAGTGACATTTTCCTATTTCTATTATGTAAGCAGCAAAGCTAAGATAATTTTTCCTCCACTGCACTGTCTACTTCTCACAGTATGAATCTGGCATCCTCTCTTACATGCCTTCACTTGTCATACATGCCTTCATTTGTCGTAAGACAGCAACAGTGGTAAATGCACGCAAGACTCTTCCAAAACAATACTGGCAACTGACAACTATACTGCAAAAAAAGATGTGCTCTGAAAAAGATGGGATGCTAGTCAAAATACTGTATGGAGAAATTCAGGGACAGATAAGAACACACATGGCACCTGTGTGTGCCATTCATCAGAAAATTTGGCATTGAGAACTTAACTGCAGTCATTCTGATCTCCTCTGTACATCATTATGGGCAGATAAAGTGAACTTCTCCAGATATTGTTAGATTGAAATTCCCAGCATGCCTTAATGTTGCCTAAGATGGCTAGGATTTCTGCACACTGTAGCCAAACAACACCTCAATGATAGCAATCTGCCCATCTCTAGTCTATAATACTATACAAAGATATAAATTTGCAAGACCTAAAAAGGGAATTATGATTTATGAGTAACATTAGTGCAAAAAAGCATTCCCAAGGATTCTGTATGGTGTGAAATGGGAGGAGTTCAATGGAGGGAGTGACACCACGAGTTACTCCACCGAGTGACACCAACCTTCGGGGTGCCACTGTTTATGACATCTGTATCGCACTTTTCCATATTGATTCATTAGCTCCATTCTGATCATTCATATGGAAACACAAAAGCTTTGTAATACTTTATAATACTATCCTTGTGGCTAAATCAAATCTCTAAGGGCATATTTTCAATCTCTGTAATGTTAGCCATTCCCTTTTAATACACTAGGAACATGTTGCAAAAAAAAAAAATGGGTCCATTCAGAGCAATCTCTCTTTCTCTTATAATAAAAAATGCCTTCTTATTGAACTTATGAATTCCTTCACTCTTTTTGTGTATGCTTTTCAGTAGGCCAAACTACATATGATGGGCAGCTGCACAATTCTTCCTCTCAATGCTTGGTAAAAACAAATAAACAAAGCAGCCACAAGAAGTTTGAAAATGGGAGCAAAGGACAAGGAAGGGACACGTTCAGGGCATACCTGTTTCTGTTGTTTGTACTGTACACTTGAATAACATAGGCAAATGTGCATACTGCTTTTCTTTCTCGGGAAAGGGAAGATCAAGAGAGAAAGTAGCACAGAATTGCCCATCATGTGCAGTTTTGCCTGGTTAAGTACTATGGTTAGTAACAACAGCCACTGGTTTATTACATTCTAATCTGGTTTATTACATTCTGATCAGTTTTTTTTAAAGTACCCTCATCTACTAATAATCAGAGTTCAAGGTTTTCTACAGTGAGCTGTTGCTATACTAGTACTTGCATCCAGATGACTGGATATGTACTCTTCCTACTTGGTTATGTCATGACCTCTAGACTGTGATGAGCTGGCATGGGTGACAGAGGCTATTGACCTAGTTCATTCCCCCTGTAGAATCAGTCCCTCTTTTCTCTTGATTTGAACAGATATGACAGTTGTGCTCAACTGTATTTTACTTGTTCACCTATGAGGTACAGACCTCCAAATGCAGGATTTCAACTCCCGGCATCCCTAGCCAATGTTGCCAATGGTAAGGAACACTGGGAGTTGCAATTCAACACCTACTGTAGGGCCACATGAGTCCCAGCCCTGACCTACATGTACGAGCTAACCAAAGTAAAGGTCTCAATCATAAGCATCCATTTCTGAGATGTTTGTGATCCTGGAGCTGAAACATAGAAAAATTATGTCCCTCCAAGCCCCAATCTTGACAAGAGGTGGGGAAAACTGCTTATCCCCCACTCCCCATCTTTCACAGAAATCCTGGGGCTAGTCTGCACATAAGTGTACTATGCAAATTGGTGTACATTTTTGCACATTCACATTGACGATTAACTGTCTTCACTTTCCTGCACAAATTCACATCTATTTGCATCTATTCCCCTCTCCCTGCCAAAAACACACAACCATCTGAATGCATGTGAAGTGGACAGATGGTCTCATGTGTGATAATGTGCAGACTTCAGTGGAGACTTTTTCCAGAGTTTAAAGAGTTTTTTTGAAGGGATAGGCAGAAAAAACCCAAACTCCTGTGAATCACATGTGGCCCAATTACAGGACCTGTCAAAAGTTCGGCAACTTCTCTCCTTCCCACTATCCATCCTGCCCAGGGTTTGACAGCCATACCATCACTGCTGATGATTTCTGTGCAATTTTGGAACTGGGGTGGGGTGGGGTAGAAATGAGAGAAAGTTACCCTGCGGGGGAGGGAACCCAGCACCCAGTACACTCTACATATAACTAAAATTTATCAGCTGGAAAAGCTGTACAGTTTGGGACTGGGAAGAAAAGAAAAATCTGTGGAAACTTTGTGGGGGTTTTTCTTCCTGCACCGATTCCCAAAGGAGTCAGGAACCCAAATTTTGATGCCATTCAATAAACTGACAAATAGATTTTTCAATTGTGAAAAACAAAATAATGATTCTAAAGGAAAACATCATAGTAGTTTAAATTTCATCACTCATTTATTATTTTAAAGAAAGAGCAACATTCGTAAGTCTTTTCTACAAATGATCCGAAAGCTCTTATGGTCCAGTAGAACACCAATTTCTTGTGGACTTTTCATATCCCCCAATTGTCCCACATTGGCACGGAAAGTCCTGATTAATCCTCTGCCATCCCACTTCAGCTTCTTTTTAAATGTCCCAGTTTTTCTCTCCTTTTTCCACTCCCCCTTGCTCTCAGTTTATTACAATTGCTGAAAAATGAGTTAAAGTGCAAAAGTAGCTTGCACTCAATAAAGGGCCTCGGCAGACGACTAATAGAGTCGTCTCCGAGCCCAGGAAGAGGAGGAGCAGCTGCCGCGCAGCGCTCCTTCCTCTTCCTGAGGTCGTCCTGGGAGCTGCCAGCCCTCTGCATGGCCGGTGCTCCCAGGGCAACCTCCTGCCACAGCGACCGCATGCGCTGCAGCGGAAAAGACAGTGAAAGTGCGCCCTACGCGTTTAGGGTGCACTTTCGCTGTCTTCCAGAGACGCCGCCGGTGCGCCGAGGTGTGGAGGCTGCGGCCCCGCGGCGCGCCGGCCCAGGGCGTCCTGGACACCCTCGTCTGCTTCCCCCCTAACTTGGGGGGTGGAGCGGAAGGGGCAGAGTCTTGCCCTTCCCAGTGGGTTTGGACAAAAGCAAGCTGTTTCTTCAACTATTAGGTTGTGTGCTCGTCCTCATCGACAACCACACTATGGTGTTCCTTGAACACATGCCCCATTGTAAGCCGCCCCGATTGCTCTGCAGAGGGGCAGGGTATAAATAAAATTTTATATTATTATTATTATTATTATTATTATTATTATTATTATTATTATTATTATATTTTTTATCTGTGAAATGCTGGAGAGTATGCCCTTTCAGCACTTCAACTTGATAAGATACTTGTGGAGAACGCTGCGCTAGGTCTGACCTAGTAAGGCTTGTCTTAAGAGGAGGTACTCAGTATCACAAAACATAGACTAAATGCATCTGGACTTCTGAGGATGGCTCTGTAAATGTAAATATACATTAGTATCTTGGAGGACTGGGAAACCAGAAGGATTCAAAGCAACAGGGGCGGGTATATTAAAAGGTAGGATGAAATGCTAGTCAGGCTACTCATATCATATACTTTCTAAATCAGGTCTCTGCATTGTTCATAAAATTAGTATGAGGTGCCATTCAAAAAAAATGATAATATGTAATTATCAACAGCTTAATTTTAATCTTACTGAGAATTTGTATATCAAGGCTGCTGAAATATGTAGTCCTAACAAACTATAGCACACTGTTCTTAGAGTGATGGGCCGATTTTGTGTTTCACCTGTTTCCTATTCATTCACTAGGTACTAGGTGCAGTGTGTCAAGTAAACTAAGCTCTGGATTGGACTGGACAACATCTTTTTTTTAAAATTAAAAACCTAATTCTGAAATACGATTTTCCCATTAAAGTAAAAGCTAGAACACTCCGAAGTAATCTAATTTTATTATCCATTTAAATTTTAAGTCTGCAGCATTATGCTTTCCATTTCAGTTAATGGACTTCAATCTTTTATCTAAAAGCTTATGCAAATCATCTGTTGCTTTTTCTTTTCTTTTCTTTTCTTTTTAAAAAAGGTCCTAATTTGTAACCTATGTTCAGTTCATGCTCAGCTCTTTCTCATTTAATGGATCTTTTTGTGCAGCTAGAGCACAGTGTCAAAGCAATGTGAAAAGACTGACCTACTTCATATATCCTTTTAATATAAGACAATAATTATTTAAGAATTTTACTGATGGTTATATACTAGGACTGATGCTATCATGTTACTTCAGACAATGAGGGGGGATTATATTCCCCTGTTCATAAATACATGCAATAAAAAGAGATTGCACTAATTTAATGAGTAATAATGTGATAGCTGTCAATAGTTTGACACAAACATATCATGGTACTTATTAGTCATCATTCTCTCCCTGGCTAATTAAATTAGCATTCTAAAACAAAATTATGTGAGTGCTGAATTCGATTGGTCACACCAAGCATTATCTTTTTTAAAAAAAAAACAAAAAAACCACAGCACCAGTTTCCATGGAAGCAATCAGTTCAAAGTCCCATTTTTGTAACATAAAATCATATAATCACTGCATTATAAATGCAGTAATGACATTCAAGTTGGGCTCTTGTCATCAGTTATGATCTTAGGTAAAGATCTAAGATAACATTTTAGATTTTATCCATTCCTTAACTTTTCGAAGATGATGTCTCCAATCCATTTTACTCAATTTATAGCAGGGTTTCCCCCCTCCCTTTCTAAAACCAAGATGTCAACATCTTTCTTTTATATAATGTAATGACAGAGCCAGCCAGCATGGTGTAGTGGTTTGAGTGTTAGATTACAACTCTGAAGAGCAGGATTCAATTCCCTGCTTAGCTATGGAAACCCACTGGGTGACCTTGGCTGAGTTGCACATGCTCAGCCCCAGAAAACCCAGTGATAGGTTTGCCTTAGGGTCCCCATACATCAGAAATGACTTGAAGGCACTCAACAACAACAGTGTAAAAAAAAAAACCACCCCAAAATAAATTGTCTGCCATTCACACAAAGTGATGCCTCGTGTCTTCCATGTCAAAAAGGCAATATGTAAATCCAAAGTGGATTTTAATCCAAAGTGTAAAGGAGCTATCCATGATACCAAACCCTATTGCAAAAAACTAGAACTTATAGAGTAGGACTCACCAACCCACTGATATTCAAACCATCAGATGCTATTGATGAATACCAGTTTTACCAAGCAGATAACAGACTTTGTGGGCCAACAAACACAAAATAGCTGGCATTCTGATGATTAGTCCTAACTAGACCCATTCAATCAATTGCTGCATGGTGAGTCAACACACTGGTAAATCTAATGGATTCAATGGGTCTCCTCTAGTCAGGATTAAAAGAGAATTTAGAATTGTGTTTTCAGTTCAAAGACATGATAACAGGGAAACAGTCTTAGGGGGGAAGCATACCAAGGCGTCCGAGACGCCCTGGGCCGGTGTGCCACGGGGACATGGCAGCCGCACCGCGGTGCACCAATGGCGTCCCTGAAAGGAGCGCAAAAATAGCGCTCCCTTCAGAAGACAGGGAAAGTGCGCCCTAAACGCCCTGACTTTTCCGGCGCAGCGCGTGCGGTTGCTGCGGTGGGAGGTTGCCCCGGCAGCGCGGGCCTTGCGGACAGCCAGCAGCTCCGAGGGCAACCTCGGGAGGAGGAAGGGGCACCGCTCGTGTGCCTGCCCCTCCTCTTCCAGGGCTCGAAGACGACCCTATTAGTTGTCTGACGAGGCCCTTAATTTGAGAGGTAGGTCTCAGTTCTCTGGTCCTCATCTGGTCCTCTAAGGCTGCATATGCACTGCAGAAATAATCCATGTTGACACCACTTTAACTGCCATGGCTCAGTGCTATGGAATTCTGGGTTTGTTGTGGCACCAGAGCTCACTGACAGAGAAGACTGAGGGCCTCTACAGACCGCCCCAAAGGGCCAGCCTGGAGCCAGAGATGGGGAAGGGCAGCTGCATGCCGGCCACCCCAACCCCACACCGACGGCATCCTGATGCCACACGCCATTACGCATGGTGCGCGGAATCAGGACACCATCCTGGCACAGCATCCTGACGTGCTGCGCCAGAAGAGCTGCGCGCTGGCTCATAGGATGCCCTTTTGCTGCCCCTAAAAGGAGCGGCATTTTGCCGCTGTTTTGGGGGTGTCAAAAGGTAGGATCAGGGCCACAGCGTGGAGTAGCCACAGCCCCGATCTGCCACTTCCCGGGGTGACTCTGTGCCGCCCGTCTGCAACCCCCCTAAATGTCTCACAAAACTACAAATCTCAGAATTACATAGCATTGAGCCATGGCAATTAAAATGGTGTCAACCTGGATTATTGATGAAATGTGGATGCAGCCTTAGATGTCAGAAAGTGTGACTTCTTCTTCTTTCAGGTATTCTATCTTTTTTTTAAAAAAATTTTTATTGCATTAAAAACATACAAAAAACAAACCTACATAAATACATACATAAATACACAAAAACGAAATAGTACAAAAACATATCACTATATAAACATACATAACCTATAAACACATATACATAAAAATACAGATAAGTATACATGCAGATCATTCTTAAGGCATGTCTTATCTGAAATTCGCAGCTTTTCTTATACCACTATCTACAAACTTCCTTGATGTCTTATAGCTATCTATATATTTATACACTTTATTTACTTCCTCAAAATTTTTCTCTTAAACAAGGTTCTTTAACATTAACCAATATGCGAACAGAAAAAAGTAAGAAGATTAAATTTTAAAACAAATATAATCCACTATTCTATCTTTTTCCTTTCACCTTTAATCCTATACAAGCATTTATTTCAATTTTAACTTTTCTTATTTGTTCATTATAACCAGATTTACAATTCTTAATATAACCTACCTATATATAACCTTAAACTTTCTTTTTATTCATACAAAATAATAATATCTTATTATCTCTTATTTCAATATCAAAGTAATATTAAATCAGTTTGGTTAACTCAAAACCATCTAATGAATTTACTATTATATCTTATCATTTTCAATTGTTAATTTTCGACTGTTTTTCCTTATGTTTCTTCCTATGGTTTTTCATAAATATCCTCTTTACATTATTTTTTCTCTTATATATTCCAACATTTCCTTCCATTCTTCCTCTGTTTTTTTATTGTTCTTCCCTTTCAGCTTTGCTGTTAGTATATCCATATTCATGGCTTCCCTTAAATTTACTAACCAGTCTTCACTTGTTGGTATTGTGGTTTTCTTCCAATGTTTAGCAAAAAGAATTCTTGCTATTGTTAGCATATATAATATTACTTTCGTATGTTTCTTTTCCTTGAGTTCATGAGTCATATTTAGCAAACAGAATTGTGGAGTGAATGGTATGTCTATTTTCAATATTTTTCTTATCTCGTCACAGATCATCTTCCAATAGGTTTTAGATTTTCCACACTTCCACCATATGTGGTAAAATGTCCCATTGATTTCTTGGCATTTCCAACAGTTTGATCTCCCGTTTTTATATATAAGATTAATTTTGGCTGGAGAGAGGTACCATTGATGGAACATCTTAATGAAATTCTCTTTATAATTTTGACATAGGGTAAATTTGTTTGTCTTTTTCCAGGCTTCTTCCCAGTGATCCCATTGTATGTTCTCCCCCATATCCTGGGCCCATTTTACCATAGTGTGTTTTACTTTTTCGTGTTCTAAATCCCTTTCTTTTAGAATTTTATATAATTTCGAGATTTTTCCTCCTTCTGGTTCTCACAAAATTTTATCTAATTGTGATCTTTCTTCTGTTATTCCCTCCATTCTCATATCTGCCGTGAATCTTTCTGTTAGTTGGAAATATAGAAACCATTAATCATTTATCTTTTCTGCTCTCAGATGTTCTCTTGTTTTCATTACAATTTTTTTTTTCTCTATCTTTTACTAGTATATCTTGGTATCTTATCCAAGGTTCTTTTTCTCTACTTCTTCTGAAGAGGGCCTCTTGAGGAGATACCCAAGTTGGAATATGTCTGTAATATTTTTCTTTTATATTTAGCCAGGTTTTAAGCAATGCCCTTCTGATGATATGGTGATTGAAGTCTTTATTGTGTTTCAGTTTTCCGTACCACATAAACCCATGCCAGCCATATATAACATTTTCTCTTTCCAGATTTATTATACTTTCATCATTAAGTTGAACCCATTCACTGATCCAGTCCAATACGCAAGCTTGATAGTATAATTTGAAATTCGGCAGCGCACAACCACCTCTTTCTTTATCGTCAGTTAAGATTTTCCATTTGAACCTTGCTTTTTTACCCATCCATATAAATTTTGACATTTCTTTCTGCCATACACTGAAACATTTTTCCTCTGAAATTATTGGTAAATTTTGAAACAGAAATAATAATTTCGGTAAAATATTCATCTTAATAACTGATATTCTACCCAAGAGTGTAATATTATGTTTTGTCCATTTTATCATATCTTGTTTTATTTCTTTCCAAATTTTACCGTAATTGTTTTGAAATAGATCTATATTTCTTTTGGTTAAATTTATACCAAGATATTTCACTTTTTTTTTCTATGTTAAAGTTGGATAATCTTTTTAACTCTTCCTCTTCTTTAGTTGACATATTTTTTCGTGATGATCGTTTTTTTCTCATTGATTTTAAATCCTGAAAATTTACCATATTCTTGAAATATTTGGGTCAAATTTTCAATATTCTGTATTGGGTCTTCTAAGAAGCAGACTAAATCGTCTGCGTACGCCTTTATCTTGTAAACATTGCCTTTTAGTTTTGTACCTCTTATTTCTTTATCTTCTCTAATTTTATTCAAGAGAACTTCCAATGCTATTACGAATAGCAGTGGCGACATGGGACATCCCTGTCTCATTCCTTTGTTAATTTTTATATAATTTGTTTTTTCTCCATTTATCAACAGTTGTGCTCTTTGCTCTTTATATACTTCTTGCATCCATTTTTCAAATTTATTACCCATATTCATTCTTTCAAATAGGTCTAACATATATGGCCATTTTACTCGATCGAAAGCTTTTTCCGCATCAAAAAAGATCATTGCTATTTTTTTCTCATGTTTTTCATAATATTCAAGAATGTTCAGTACTGTTCTAATATTGTTTTTTATATATCTATTGGGAAGAAATCCATTTTGATCAGTATGGATCAGATCTTTCAGTATTTTCTTTAATTTTTCAGCTATGATAGAGGCAAATATTTTGTAATCTACATTTATTAGTGAGATTGGTCTATAATTACCAATTTCCTGTTTTTCCTTATTAGTTTTAGGTATTAGTGATATATAGGCATCTTTCCATGAGTCCGGAATTCCTTCTCTCCAGATGTCATTTAACATATCTCTCAAGGGTGTCAACAACACATCTTCCATTTTTTTATAGTATATTGTAGATAAACCATCCGGACCCGGAGCTTTCCCCAATTTCATTTTTTTATAGCTTCAGATATTTCTTTAGTGGTAATATTTTCATTTAGTGTTTTTTTCTGTTCTTCGCTTAGTCGATTAACTTTTGTTTCTTTAGATACAACTGTCTTTCTTCTTTTTCTTCTGTAGTCTCTGTCTTGCTCTCATAAAGAGACTCAAAAAAGTCTCTAAATGCTTTTTTAATGTCTTCTTGATTTGTTATTATTTCATCCTTGTACTTTATTTCTGTTATAATCTTTGTTTCTTTTTCTTTTCTTAATTTGTTCGCTAACAATTTTCCTGCTTTATTTCCTGATTCAAAATGCATTTGTCTAATTTTTTTCAGTTTTTTTTCAATTTCTGTTATAGCAAGGGATTTTAATTGTTGTTGTAGGATTTTAACTTTTAAATGTAGCTTCTTATC